GTAACATGGTATATTTATGAAAATTCATTAAGTAATTTCCTTTCAGCCCACGAATCATAGGCACTGATCAGATAGCAAATTCGGCGCCTGCCTTGTGAAAATGGGGTTTCTCGGGGTACCCCCCCCCCACAGCAAACTTCTTAAGGATTGGATTTATAGATCCCAGTCCTGAAAAGAACCGCATTTTATTACGCCTCAACTTATTTATGTTTTTGCTAAAATAAACAAATTGATGGTTAGATCAGTTTAAAATTTAAATCAAGTTTTAAATTTCCAGTAAAGTTTCAAACACAAACGGAAGTGCTCGGTCTGCATGTCTCTGCCCTACTCTTCGTCTCATTTTTCCGAGCGACGACTGATGTCACAATCACGTGAAGAGTCAACACCACGTGCATCAACAATACCACACTCGTCTCTGTGCTCCAGTTCTACACCATCCAAGATGAAGCAACAGAGATGGACTTTCTGTCCTTCCATCTTTTTTTCACTGATATTCACATTCACTTTTACATTTCGCGAGCGGGGCGAAGAGAAACAACAGTTTCTGAACGCCCTTGGTTGTCTCTCAAATCCCTTCAGGGCTTGTTAGATTTCAAAACCAAAATACCTATCAAGTTAGTTGTTGTTGTCATGTAAACAATGGAAGGTTATAATTACTTATATTACATAGTGGAATGGGACTTTCCTATTAAACCTATTTATAAGTAAAAATATTTAATAACCTTGACCTTTACCATATGGAGTGCACTGGCCAGATAAACCTACTCATGGGGTCACCAGTCAGACCAAGTGACCTAAAACACTAATGTTTCAAACATTGCCTTGACACACGAACAAATGATCTCATGTTTATCAATACAAAATGATTCAAATATTACAAGTGTCGATTTATTTTACATTTGTGTGATTACATTGTACGATTTTCCTGTTTGGAATGTATCCCTAAGACAAGCATATTAAGGCAGGTTATACATCTACAATGGTATTTGATTTACTCATGACAGAGCATGTTATCAAAGTATAAAATTATCAAACCTGTATCAGATATGTAAATATATCATTATTACAAGTTCTAACCATACCATTAAAATACCATATAGCATGACACTACACACATCTTTAGATTGATGTCTTCTACTTGACTTTTCAAACTTTGACCAGGTTTGGATTTTAAAGTATTTTTTAGATTTAATACATATTTTACTCTGCCCAAGTTTCATTATGGTTGAATGAACCTAACATTTTCTGAGAAGTTCGAAAAGATACCATCATCGATATGACTGAAAAATAATACTGATAATATAAAATTATAAATTCACAGTTTTCAAACACACAATCTTTATATAACAAAATGGCAAAACATTACCAAACTGTTTGTCAATTTACAAAGTTTACAAAGTCATAGCCAATCAAAGATACAAAAACATCACCAAGGCCAGAAGAACAACTTTAAGTAAGTTCTCAATAAACATAAATCAATGTATTCTGAATTGGAAGGAAGATATACTTCCCTAAACATAGCAATCTGCCAATTTCTGAAGTACAGCTTGTTTACAAGATGATGAAGAATATAAAATCAAGTAGTGTTTACGGCAAGTTAAGTTTAATAATTATGACAGATATTCCTCTAAACTCATCACATTTTTCAAAATACAGCTTGTTTACAGAATGAAGATGAAAAATAATTAAGTACTGTCCAAGGCCAGTTAGAGTTTAATACTTACAGATTATTGTAATTTGTATTTTCCTTCTCAAAGATGCATTTAATTATTTTCAAAACCCAACATATATTTATATAACAGTTCATTTCTTGAGTAGTAAATACATTACAAAATGATTTAGCATATCTACATAATAAACAGCTGGTGCATCCAGTTTAACTGATACAAACAGTAAGAAGAGAATCCAGTACTTTGTCATAGTCATGTAGCAAGCAGTGGCTATGATGAACCACTAGATTCACTGGTGTAGCAAGTAACTGGTGAATTTAGTGGTTCATCATAGCCATGTAGCAAGCAACCAGTGAATCTAGTGGTTCATCATAGCCATGTAGCAAGTAACTGGTGAATTTAGTGGTTCATCATAGCCAGGTAGGAAGCAACTGGTGAATTTAGTGGTTCATCATAGCCAAGTAGCAAGCAACCAGTGAATCTAGTGGTTCATCATAGCCATGTAGCAAGCAGGTAGTGAATCTAGTGGTTCATCATAGCCATGTAGCAAGCAACCAGTGAATCTAGTGGTTCATCATAGCCATGTAGCAAGCAGGTAGTGAATCTAGTGGTTCATCATAGCCATGTAGCAAGCATCTGTTGAATTTAGTAGTTCATCATAGCCATGTAGCAAGCAACTGGTGAATTTAGTGGTTCATCATAGCCATGTAGCAAGCAGGCAGTGAATCTAGTGGTTCATCATAGCCAAGTAGCAAACAGCCAGTGAAGGTAGTGGTTCATCATAGCCAAGTAGCAAACAGCCAGTGAAGGTAGTGGTTCATCATAGCCATGTAGCAAACAGCCAGTGAAGGTAGTGGTTCATCATAGCCAAGTAGCAAACAGCCAGTGAAGGTAGTGGTTCATCATAGCCAAGTAGCAAACAGCCAGTGAAGGTAGTGGTTCATCATAGCCATGTAGCAAGCAACCAGTGAATCTAGTGGTTCATCATAGCCATGTAGCAAGCAACTGGTGAATCTAATGGTTCATCATAGCCATGTAGCAAACAGCCAGTGAATCTAGTGGTTCATCATAGCCATGTAGCAAGCAACTGGTGAATCTAATGGTTCATCATAGCCATGTAGCAAACAGCCAGTGAAGGTAGTGGTTCATCATAGCCAAGTAGCAAACAGCCAGTGAAGGTAGTGGTTCATCATAGCCAAGTAGCAAACAGCCAGTGAAGGTAGTGGTTCATCATAGCCATGTAGCAAGCAACTGGTGAATCTAGTGGTTCATCATAGCCAAGTAGCAAGCAACCAGTGAATCTAGTGGTTCATCATAGCCATGTAGCAAACAGCCAGTGAAGGTAGTGGTTCATCATAGCCAAGTAGCAAACAGCCAGTGAAGGTAGTGGTTCATCATAGCCATGTAGCAAGCAGCTGGTGAATTTAGTGGTTCATCATAGCCATGTAGCAAGCAACTGGTAAACCTAGCACTTTATAATAGCCATATTGGTAGCAGAAGATGAAGATAATGATTAGTATGCCACAAAATTGAGTAATAAATTAACAAATGGCATCACATCAAAATGTAACAAGCAGCAGGTGAACATAATGGTTAGTATAGCCATGTACAAGATAATAAGTGGTTTCATAGACACAAAACAATGTATTGGGTACAAAAAAAGTCTTTATAACTTAATGCTTCATTTAGCAGCTTATTCTTCTAGAACACCATACAATGAAATACGTAGAAATCTGAACTAAGAGTTGTGAGTAAAAGTAAACCAAAAAACAGTATTAATAATTAATATGTATTTTGTTTCACTGAACAAGGAAAACAAATATTTAAACTTAATTATTCCTGACAGTCATTTATCGACATTTATAAACTATGATTGCTGCTGAACGAATCAAACACTGAACTGTGCACTTCTCTGTTATAATGCTGATTAGTGCCATGTTTTCTTACAGAACAAGTTTATACGTTGGCAGTATAGAGAATGCATTATAGCATTCTGAAGATGGGCTATAATTTACATCAAAATACACAGGACTACAAAGTTCTGATGTATTGTGAAGTGGCTAACATATATCAAAGTGTTCTATTCTACAAAATCTTCAGCATGTAGCAAAATGTTTGTGTATATCACAATTTTCTAATATATCAATCAGCATTTCAAAGTACAGTATCATAATGTATGATATAATGGTTGAAAACATAACTGTCTGTGTATGGGTTTTTCCCATACAGTACTACAGTGTTTTACTGTCACTGCAAGTTTTACATTTTACATATAAAGTGTTCTAGTGTTACGGGGATCTGCTTCATATATTTGTGAATAACCCATGCTGATGTCGACGGGCCAGGCTTACAAATAAATCTAAGTTATATTTATAGAACAGTAACAAATTTCACAGTGAAGAGTACACGCCAGTTTCATTGCAAAGGATTATAGAAAAGTGAAATAAGGTGCTCCACTTTTTACTTTGCACATTGTTTTCTGGTAGGTTCAAGCCAAACTGGACTTCTAAATGAGGACTATGAATTACAAACTTTGTTCAGGTTTAGGTGAGACAAACTGAACAACAGATCTTTGACATCGCTGTCAACCTAGAAGAAAAAAACAACAACAAAAACAGCAGCAGTAAGGTGGGTGAAGCTTACAAAAAGTGATTATCAATATCAATCTAGAACAAAAACTCGGCACTAGATGTTACTAATGCTGAACTATATTTTGTTTTAATCAGTTAAGCTAGGTACTATCTAACCTTGTTGTCTCAGTTAACACCTTTTCAATGGGCATCTTTATCCGTGCAGGTCACGAGGTTTTAGTTAGTTACATTCAAGATATAATTAAATTACTTTCTTATCATCAAACACAAATAAATTTGGCACAAAAATGTATCTAAGAGTCCAAATTTTAGTAGTATACAAGTTTTAAGTTCTTAATTTTATATGACAATATTAAAAAATATATATCCTGAATTTCCTCTAGTATGAAAACTGTGACATTTTCACTCTAGGTATACCTTCTTCTCTAACTTACTTACACCCCTCCAAGAAGTATGAAATTTAAAGTAAATTACTTATTATAATGTTCTCATTGCTCAGGCAAAGATTAATTTTTATAGCCTTCAATCTTATTTGGTTTCAGAGCCATCAAATAGAAAATCAGACTCCTTTTGCTACGTCCACCTGTCACATCCTCTCTTTCAGAAATTGCCAATAGTTCCCTCTGACATTTAATACTACATTATTTCTAACCATTAGAAAGCCAAGGTTTAATCTATTAAATGACATTTTCTGTCCAGAGGACTCTCAGTCATGTTTTCCATATAACTCTCTCAATACGGGCTCAGTCAATTCAACCAACCAAGTGATCTCTTTGTACTCATTCAGACTTTATAGATTAAATACTTCTAACTTTCAATGTAGTGTGTATATCTTCACAAAATTTGGCAGTCTTTAACATATAAAAAATCACATTTTTTAGTGAAATATTTTTAATAAAATAAAATAAAGATTTATCCAAGAATATATTGAGTATTTGTTTTGAATAGTCCATGTGGAAAGTAATTTACATGTTAAAATTAAAAATACTTTTCCTCATCTCAAAAATCTTAGATTTCCTTTGTGTAATCCTTAAAACCTCCTACATGCATTTCAAAGTTTTTTTTTCAGTAAAACTTTATAGTTTCTGTTATTTTCTCTACCCTATCTCAAAATGGGATCAGTCAATTTGACCAACCTTGTAATCACCAAAAAAAATAAAAATAAACCAATTACCCTTTTTTTCTTTGTAGAATGACTCCAAATTGTAACATGAAACTACATTCATTTATCCTAAGTTCGTAACATTATACATCTATTTATAATTAAATTTTATTGATTTATTGCCCTTTGAACTGTCTAACTACTATCCATGCCATTATAAATTGTAGATCACTTGTGGAACGTGCGGCTCACATTACACTATCGAATTACATTACCCACGATCTGCTCACGTGCGTGCCTAGTGAACCATTTTAATTATATTATTATTATTTTTACTTATTTTACCTAATCTAGTCTTAAATAACTTTAAAAGATCTATACTTTTAGATTTTAGTTAATTTTACAATAATAAAGAATAAATATGAAAAACAAGAAATGAAGTACTTACCTAATCTTCTTTTTTCTTGCTGTCGGGTTTCGAGAGAGTTAACCCTAATTTCTTATACTATAGATAGTAATGCACTTAATAATTTTTATTTAATTAAATAATGCAACAAAGAATATAGACTAATAACATGCAAAAAGTAGACAAATTCCCTTATCTCTCAAAATTTTCCTGGCTTTCTAACTATGCGACATGAGCTGTTACAAATTCATCCAAGTTAGTCATTAACTTTCCCACGGGAATGAATCTTGTACTGTGAGTGAAATTGATGATATTTTGTTCGTAATACAACGTTATACAATACATCATTTGACAGATGAAAACCTTGACTTTCTGTTGGTTATAGGTAATATATAATGAAACGTAAGAGAGAGCTACCAACAAATTGTGAAAGACAGGATGTGACAGGTGAGTGTGGCAGGAAGGGTCTGATTTTCTATTCAA